AGAGCTTCGCCTCCCCACCTCGGGTGCGAGATTTTAAGATTCAGTACTAATTTCTGACAGCACTTCGCCTCCCCACTTGGGGAGCGTACGAGCGACTCAAAGATTGAACGATTTGGAACAAGCACAAAGTCTAAGTTTTAGAGCTTCGCCTCCCCATTTGGGGAGCGCTAGAAAAAAATGGGAGAGTTACTAGATCTCGAATCCGTGCCGTGAAAGGAAAATCCGACAGAGTTTTGACAATGTGAGCCAAGAGAGCAAAATGAACTCAAGAACGAAATTTGACAGGAGCGAATTGAACACACGAGCAAAATTTGGTACAAAAATATAGGTGACAAAGTTTTTGTCTTCCTTCCTAACGGTCATAAATTTCGCTTGCGATGGTTGGAGGCAGCCAGTGGGTTACGATAGAGTTGGAAGCAGCCAGCGGGTTACGACTGAGATGGAATTTTCCACCATAATGATTGTTTTGGATTTGGGCGAAAAGGGTAACGAGTTAATAAAGACGAGTCTTCGTAGATACGGTGTAACGGAGGTGGAGAAATTTTAGTGTTTAGTGTAAGTTAAAGAAGGGTATTGGGTATTGACGTAACGGTGAGGTAGTGAGTCGAAGAAACGTGTTGTGTGGGGCTTGTTGATTCGGGGTAGGGAGTAAGGGGGTGGAGAGGGTGGGGAGAATTGTGTGGGGGTTGGTTGGAGACGTGGATGAATGTTGCGGAGGTGCTTGGTGATGTGTGGGTGGTGCGCAGTTTGTGCTAGGAGCCGATGGAGAAGGGACACTTGAGTGTTGAAGGGAGGACGGAAAGGTCTGGTGGGAGGGCGTGAGCAGGGGTTGTGGGGATAGGTTGATAGGTAAGGTGAAGTGTCGGAATGGGTTGGGTTAGGATGGCGTCTGGGTGAGTAGGGTCCTGTCGAGGTGAAGGGGGCAGTCCGGGTGTGTGGGAGGGTGTTGGGTCGCTGTGAGGTCATCGGAGGATCAAAAGGTTTGCTGGGGCGTGATGGGGAATGTGGTGGGGAGACGGGGTGAGGAGTCGGGGTAGGGAGTCGGGGTGAGGAGATGGGGTGAGGAGTCGGGGTGAGGAGATGGGGTGGGGCTGTCTCTTATACACATCTAGATGTGTATAAGAGACAGTTTCTAGCCAGTGCCCCCATTTAGGTTTTGACTTTGAGAGTGGGAGGATTTCCCCTTTATCGTTCTTGATGTGTGGGTTGTCGAAGAGGGGTTGCCTGAGGACTTCGTCTTTTTGCTTTGGACCTGTTCTGTTCTCGGGGAAGATGGTTCTCCAGGTGTGTAGTATTTGTTCCCAGAGGGATTT